TATCTCTCTTATTACCACGCCCCGCCCCCTCGACGCCGGGGGGAGAGAGAGCTCCTCACTCTTTTCTCTATCTCTCTAATCTACATCAGGGACACGCACCCCCCCCCTATCTACTCTCTCTCTCTCTCTCTCTCTCTCTCTCTCTCTCTCTCTCTCTCTCTCGACCCCCCACCCCCTCTGTCTGTCTCTCTGTCTCTCTCTCTCTCTGTCTGTGTGTGTGTGTGTGTGTGTGTGTGTGTGTGTGTGTGTGTGCGTGTGTGTTATGTGTGTGTGTGTGTGTGTGTGTGTATGTGTGCACATGTGTTTGTGAGTGTGTGTGTGTGTGTGTGTGTGTGTGTGTGTGTGTGTGTGTGTGTGTGTGTGAAAAATGTGTTGGGGTCGCACGAGTTGTCATGCTTGACTGTGTGTATATTATGTCTGTGTCTGAGTGTAGAATTCTGTGGTCTGTATATGCACATGCACGTGCGCGCGCGCCCGCACCTGTATGTGTACGTGTGTGTGTGTGTGTGTGTGTGTGTGTGTGTGTGTGTGTGTGTGTGTGTGTGTGTGTGTGTGTGTGCGTGCGTGCGCGCGCTACAAACTCTTGAGGCATTCGTTTTATTTTGGAGTGACGATAAAACGTATCGAGTTTTCCAAATGATCTTGTTGCTGACAATATGTAGGCCATCAGGAATTATTAGTACATGTAGTAGCAGCAGCAGTAGTAGTAGTAGTAGTAGTAGTAGTAGTAGTAGTAGTAGTAGTAGTAGTAGTAGTAGTAGTAGTAGTAGTAGTAGTAGTAGTAGTAGTAGTAGTAGGAGGAGGAGGAGGAGGAGGAGGAGGAGGAGGAGGAGGAGGAGGAGGAGCAGCAGCAGCAGCAGTACATGTATTATCATTACAGAATTATACACTTATTTATATAATTTGTGATTATTACATGTATTATCAAAGATAGGCTACTCCACTAACGCGGACTTTGTTATTATCATTATTTTTATTGACAATCTGGCAAAGGGTCACAAACTTCGAATGTTTCGAAATCCTGACAATCTCTCGAAGGGGAGATCACTCCTCTCTTTGTTTATGCTTTCCTTTCTTTCTCCCGTACTTTTCCATGTGCGTTCGAAGAGAAAGCGAAACTAGGAAACATGGGCACTTTTGTAAAGAATTTGAGAAAACATATCTTCCTGCATCCAAAAGACAAGCTCAGCAAAAATGTTGCAGTTAAACAAACGCTTCTTCGAGACCAGAAGAAATATTCTGACAGGTTAGTTATGTGTAATTTACTGTCGTCTTGTGTACACTGGTGGCCCTACCGCTTGGCTGGCGGGTGAGTTGTCAGTGACGACAAGACAAGTCAAACAAAGTGTAGATCTAGATCTAGATCTAATCTATATCTAGATCTAGATCTAGAATTAGTAGAATCTAGAGGTCTAGAGTCTGAATTTAAATATTGATCTAGATTCTAGGCCTACGTACGAAAGCAAGTTCAAAGTTCAATGACGTAGTGTAGTGCAAATGATCGATCGTTTCGATCCGGATCGTTTCTTTTAAAGGTTTGTAAGCACAAGAAATTTTATGAAGCACTTACAAGAGATTGGGCTGAATTGGACACAGAGAGCAGCTGCAAATTGAGCAGATTCTAGATCTAAATCGAAACTGCAAGGTATGCGAATGGCTACTGTGAAGTGCAAATGCAGTATGACCACCTTTATTCTGGTGAGAATAACCCATGTCTCGCTATTCTCACACCGAGTGAGAATAACCCACGTCTCGCTATTCTCACCCCCCCCCCCCTCTCCAGTTTAAAAAAAAAGGCTCCCTACCGACGCTACTGAGCGGGATGTGGGACTGACCACCGGCCGGACCATTCATTGTTTACACACTTAACGATGGTAGGCCTCTCACTCTCTGCCTGCACACTATAAATTTTATGGTTCAAGGAACTGAGAGCATAACGTAACGAGACACAAGAACGAGACAATAAATGCTCTTACACGGCTGTAGAAGAGTTGTAAATTATTCAGACCAAATGGGCGAGGGCGTTAAATCATGTTAACTAATCTAGATCTAGTTTAATAATTAAACGATCTTCTAAGCTCTTTTCTTTTATTCTTTCTTTTTCTTTTTTTCTTGCCTTTTCTTTCCCCTTCCTCTTGAAATTTGGGAGTTTGGAGCCAAAAAAGAGCCAGAGAGCCAAATGAAATTCTCCGGGCCAGACATGATCCAAAAGAGCCAAATTTCGGGGATTTGGCTCCGAACTGACAAGCCTGACTGTGACTATTCAGACAGGAACGGTGACCGAACATGCTGTGGAGCATCATTCCTGCCCCGCCCCTCAGGGTCATGCCCGCTAACCTCAGCCCTGATCCCTCTAGGGCCGTTTTCCGGTAAAGCGGAATAAACGTAAAACGGAGTGAAAACAACCACTTTCATGCAGTATACTATTAGGGGGAACCCCATTATAGGAAAGACTCAAAGAGGGAAGGCGAGGAGGGGGGGCTGCTGGTAGTGGGAAGATTAAGGGTCAGAAAGCAGGGGAGGAAGAGGAGCAGGGTGGAGGGGTGATATAAAGGGGGATGGTGGGTATAAAAAAAGGGAGAACAAAGAAATGTATGTCTCCTTGTTTAATACATATATTATGTATACATATATAGGCCGTTCAGTCCGAATATGAAAAAATGTTATTCGGACTCGGGTCCGGAAAAAAGGAAGTGTCTTCGTTCTATAGATCTAACGTTCAGTGCTTCCAATTCTCCGCCATTTTTTAGTTTCCCCCACACCTTTTCTGCCGATCCGATGCCCGCCGCTTCATTGATACGCCCCCCACCCCCCATGTTTCCCACTTTCTTTGTTGTAGAAAAAGGTAAAATTGAAGATTAGCAGACCACCTGGCACCTGCATATTATGAGCTGTGTAAAAAAAAAAGACCGATTCGTTCAAATACACAAGCCTGTGTCATATCGATTGTTTACCAAGAAAAAGTTGTGTTGCTGTGTAGAGCTGAGCATACGGCAACTTTTGATTCCATAGACCAGCGCACAATTCATTACGTAGATCTACGTCAAGACTAGCTTATTATTGTAATAATGATCAGTTGCCGGGGGGAAAAAGACTGACGCATATATGCGACGTTCAACGCCCGGACCGATAGTGCCCCCCTACCCCCCTCCCCGACACGCACACAGCCACACGTGTGCAGGCCGCCCATCCGACCCCGACAGACACGAACGAGCCATCTTTAATTGCTTCTGATGACCTCTTGACAAATAAACATTTATTAGAAGCGCTATAACTTTTCAGGCCGGCCTCAAATTCATCATAAGATTAAAACTCGGCTCCTGCACAAAACGCCTTTTTGCCTGAAGTGATACCGGTCTCTACCCAGCCTGAGGCGAGTCACGAGTGAGGCAGGACAGGAAGCCGGATTCACGAGTCACGGGAAGTCGGAAGTCGGA